CTTTGGTGCATATACTCTCTGTGTATATAAAAAGACAAGCTACATTCATCAAGAATCATAAGGTACAACACTTAATGATCGTCATAGGGTACAAATAAGCAATCAGGAAACAATCCATATAAACCATAAGGATACAAGCAGCAAAGTCACAGTTGTGCAGTCATAAGTGGGAGGAGATGGGTGATAGGACAGGTGAGAAGACTAATAGGAATAGTAATGCAGCCTTAGTGAATGGTTTGACAGTGGAGAGGGAATTATTTGTTCAACAGAGTGATGGCCTTTGGGAAAAAACTGTCCTTGTGTCTAGTTGTCTTGGTGTGCAGTTCTCTATAGAGTCGTTTTGAGGGTAGGAGTTGAGACAATTAATGTCCAGGATGCGAGGGGTCTGTAGATATTTTCACGGCCCTCTTTTTCACTCGTGCAGTGTGCAGGTCCTCAATGGAAGGCAGGTTGGCAGTAATTGTTTTCTCTGCAGTTCTGATTTTCCTCTGAAGTCTGTGTCTGTCTTGTTGGGTTGCAGAGCCAAACCAGACATTTATAGAGGTGCAATAATTCCTCTGTAGAACTAGGAAAAGGCCTGTTTTGTGGCCAACTGTTTTTGCCAAAATGGGGTGAATATAACACCCTCTCATTTAGTTATTTATTTATTGAATTTATTTGCCGCCCATCTCATAGCAGTCAATTCTGGGTAGCAAATTCCTCACATCACAGCATAGCCCCAAAGACGGTTCTCTTTCCCAAGTTACGATAAATCGTTTAAAAAAACAAACAGAACCTTCTTACCTAGAGGACAGATTGGATTCCTTCTGGATGATTTGAATGCAAGGCTAAAAACCAAAGAGACAAATAAATCCTTATTATGCTTCGATAGCAGGTACTTCCATGGGATAAAAATTTTCACAGCTCTCTTGAGGTTCTCCAGTTAAAAAGTAATGAGAATGCAAAGCTCCCAGCTAGCCCAATTGGCAATTTTGCAAATTTATATAAAGAAGTACAAGTCATAACAATCCCGCATTAATTTATTTGTCCTATCAAAATGTGTCCTGTCACACAGCTCCCCATTTGCAATGTTCACAATAAGGTTGAGCATCTGAATTCTTCCTGTCCTTTTAGTGATACCTTCCACCAAGACACAAAAAAAGATATAGATGTCAATCAATTGGGGCCAGAATGTCTGTTGTTAAGCAAAGCAGTTGTTTAATAGGTGGTGCCCAATTTTATGACTTTCGCCATTGTTGTTAAGCAAATCATTATAGATGCTAAGTGGATCAGTGTTTGCTAAGCCAATCCAATTTCCACATTGAGTTTCCTTGTTTAGAAGCCTTCTGGGAAGCTTGCAAACATTGTGACTATCATAAATAGATGCTGATTATAAAGCTCCCAAAACTTAATCGAGTGACCATGGGGATGCTAATATGATCGTAAGTGTGAGAACCGATCATAGGTCACTTCTTTCAATGCCACTGTAACTTCAAACAATAGTTACACAAATGGTTGTTAAGGATTTATCTGTAATCTGCAGATATCTCACCTGAAAATACCACACCCTTGCTTTAAAACAGATTCCTTTCCCAGGGACAATACCTGCAGGAAGAAAGTTAAATCATCAGTTACTGAAATAAAATAAAAAATGTACCAGGCTGTTCTCAAAACTACAACGCTACTCCTTAGTGACCTTCTCAAATTGATTGTATAAACCCAAAACACTGTTGGCAAGAAAACCATAATACGTCTGATATCCCGCATTTCTCTTTCGGCTTCGTTTCTCTCACTTTTGCCCCATTTGACGACTTTTCTTGCCATGTTTGTTAAGTGAATCATGGCAGTTGTTAAATTAGCAGCACGGTTGTTAAGGGAGTCTGTTTTGACCCCCACCTTGTCCGTTCAAAAACACTTTTTTTACCTTACTTTTTTTTGTATTTGTAATGTATCTGGCAAATGTCAAATCCTTGCCATTTGAACTCTTATCAATCTGCAATCTATGGGCATAGAATTTATCCCGGAATGGAGCTGTAAAGAGCTGTAAAACTGATACCTTTGATATGCCCCCCTTCTGTCTAAGGACGTATCTCACCTTTCACCTGTGCCCTTCACAACAGGGGGCCAAATGGCCAATCCTGGGAACAGCAAGGAGACAAGACGGATAAAGCTAATGACGATATTTCTTCACTGTATAAAAAGGAGCTTCTCTGAAGGTCTTAGCTCTTCCCTGCATATCCTTGGGGGTCTGTTGGGAACAACTGACCGTCATGTCTTTAAACTTTGATCAAAGATTAAACGCTGATTGTTATTCAAGCCTCCGTTTTAAGTCTCATGTTTGGCTCATTGTGGCTTGGATTTTAATAATTGTATCTTTTATCTTAATTTTTAAATGTCTTTTTTTATCTTACCTGTAAGCCGCCCAGAGTCCCAAGGGAGTGGGCGGCATACAAATGTATTAAATTTCAATTTCAAATTTCAATTTCTTATCAATCTGCAATCTATCGGCATAGAACTTTCATTTCATTTTCATTTCATTTATTGAATTTCTAGGCCGCCCAATCCCGAAGGACTCCTTATCTCGGAATGGAGCTGTAAAGAGCTGTAAAACTGATACCTTTGATATGTCCCCCTTCTGTCTAAGGCAGTGTTTCTCAACCTTGGCCACTTGAAGATGTCTGGACTTCAATTCCCAGAATTCCCCAGCCAGCATTCGCTGGCTGGGGAATTCTGGGAGTTGAAGTCCAGACATCTTCAAGTAGCCAAGGTTGAGAAACACTGGTCTAAGGAGGTATCTCACCTTTCGCCTGTGCCCTTCACAACAGGGGGCCAAATGGCCAATCCTGGGAACAGCAAGGAGACAAGACGGAGAAAGCTAATGATGATATTTCTTAATTGTATAAAAAAGGAGCTTCTCTGAAGGTCTCAGCTCTTCCCTGCATATCCTTGGGGTATGTTGGGAACAACTGACCACCATGTCTTTAAACTTTGATCAAAGATTAAACGCTGATTGTTATTCAAGCCTCCGTTTTAAGTCTCATGTTTGGGCTCATTGTGTCTTGGATTTTAATAATTGTATCTTTTATCTTAATTTTTAAATGTCTTTTTTTATCTTGCCTGTAAAAACCGCCCAGAGTCCTAGGGGATTGGGCGGCATACAAATGTATTAAATTTCAATTTCAAATTTCAATTTCTTATCAATCTGCAATTGAACTGGGCATAGAACTTCCATTTCATTTTCATTTCATTTGTTGAATTTCTAGGCCGCCCAATCCCGAAGGGTTAGAGTCCCAAGGGAGTGGGCGGCATACAAATTTTATTAAATTGAAATTGTTTTCTCACAACTTCTATGGGCCTCAACGTCTTTTCAAACCTTCCATTTGGGAGTTTTTCGTTTTACAAAATTTGGATAAACTAAAAGTAACACCCATCTACCAATAATTCACACACTCCCCATGCACTCCCTCGGCTTCCCCGCCCCCCCTTTCCATCCCACCCGCGATTTCCCATCTTAAGGACCCCCAGATGGGCTGGCTGGGCATGATGGGACCTGGAATCCCACCCATTCCGAATACAGCCAGTTGAAGGAGACAGAGAAGGATGGGGAAAAGGAACCCCCGCCCCCCCCCCAAATACTTACTTTCCCCAAGGCCGCGCTCATGATCTTCAGCGGCGCCCCCGACCCTCCAGGCGGTAACCACGGCGACGCGGGGAGTTTGGGGGGGGGGGGCTTTGAAATAACGAATCCGAATGAGGTCACCCTAATGCGTTCCCCCGCAGGTCCCGGGTCCGTCCCTAAAATAGTTCCCCCTTGGAACCTATCCCGCGGGTTTCAAGTTCCGCGGCGAGTTTGTCCCGCCGCCGCCAATCAGGAGCGTCCTCTCCGCAGTGGCTGTTCTGATTGGCTAAGAAAAGGAGCATAGAGAGGAAAAAACGGGAAGAGGTGACTTGCAGGCTTCTTTTAGAATTAGTAGTGTTAAGTGACTCTGACTTCCCTGTTGATTTTATAGCAATAGCGGTAGCAATAGCAGTTAGACTTATATACCGCTTCATAGGGCTTTCAGCCCTCTCTAAGCAGTTTACAGAGTCAGCATATTGCCCCCAACAACAATCCGGGTCCTCATTTCACCCACCTCGGAAGGATG